AGGGCATTTACAATAAATAAATTTCAAAACAAATGTTACGTCTGTTCCATTAAAACACATATAGTAACCAGGGAAGACACTTTTAAAATGAGGTAAAAACCTATAGAGGCAAATCTCTCTAACATTTTCACTACAAAAACACCCACCCTTACTTGAGATTTTGAAGTGCCTTCCCTGGGTCTCATGTATGTTTTAAGGGAACAGCCCTTAGATTTGGGGTGAACTTAAACAGCACCAAGACTTTGATAAAATCCATAGGGCCATTTTCCTCCTCCTTTTTTGCATATCATTACCCAGATTATATGTAGTGCTTGAAAAATAAAATTCAAGAAATAATATTATAGCAGAGTTTAAAAAAAATCCCTACCTGGTTTCTCTATTTGTATAAATATGGCTATGTCAATCTTTTGCTATAAGAACCAAAAAAATATTTTATTTAATTTTTTTTTGAAAATTGGACAGTTGCATGATGTCTTCAGGTACTTCAGTTTTCAAGTGAAATCCAGTCACAGGTTTAAGAGGATTAGTGGATACTAACTGTGAATGAACGAAAAGACACAACAATCACTATATATCTTCTTCTTAACCAAGCAAGTGGTTGAGTTACATTGCAAACACATTGAATGTTCTATTGGACATAATGCATTTAAACATTCTAAAAAGAATAAACAAAACACATAAAAAAGAATAAAAGGAATTACCAAAAATATTGGACAATACAACGAACCACACCAACTACCAACTCCTCCCAAAAAATTGACATACAAACAAAGACATACAAAAAGGAACAGTGCATGGTCCAAATAGTCTAACTTGGTACAGACACAAAATTTGGCTGGGTTAAACCAGTTTTACATGTGTACACCCGTATGTCTATTTATACCATATGTTTTGAGGTAAAACACAGTAGAAGAAACCTGCATAGTCGAGCTATCAATTGGTTAACAACTAAATACAACATGAAAAGGAAGCATGGTCAAATAAAATGGATTCGCTACTACAGAAAGCTAGGTAGGGTAGCCAACAAAGCAGTTGGTTGAATTTTGCCACTGAAAAAAAGTCTACATATACAAAACCTTCATTTTGAATGAAAGTCAAAATTCATATGAAAGCCTATGATTTATGATGATTGATGAAATTGTTTTACAAATTGAGACAAATAATACCATTATCCCAAGTTATACATATAATAATATTTCACTCTTAAAGTTAATAATGGTAAACAAACAAGCATTGCTCATTATGGCACTGTCCTTATAAAAAAAAAAATTTTTTGTTAATCCACCTATACTTTTTATTCATTACAGACATTCCATAATACAAATAAATTATTTTCCAGCAAAAAAATTACCGGTAGTCAATTTTGAATGTTTGTATCTCAAAAACGACCTCAAAGCTTTCTTTTATTTTTGTTTTACCTTTAATAAAATTCAAACTGAATAAGCTGTTGCAAAGACATTTGTTAAAACAAGTATAGTTTATCTAGTAGTTTGCATAAATGCATAAATATTCCAAACAGCATGTGATATTCTGTATACATGAAAGTATAAATTACATTCTTTTATGTGGATGTTTTGTTCTTATGAAGTTCCTCTAAATATACCTATTTAAATCTGGAGATATAATACCCATAATCACTGAACCAGCTAAATTACAAGGTACATTGAAAATGACTGACAACCCTCTTAACAAGCACAGTACAATGACAATACGAAAAAAATCTGTAGTCGATAAGAAAAAATGTGGTGAAAATCTTGTAAAGAATGATAATGTTTTTCCCAAAGAAGAATTAAAATGCTAGATTCCAACTATCATGATGTCCTAATTTTCAGTTGCTTAGAAACATACAATGGAAAATTGGAAAATTGTGACAGATGGAAAGATGCAGGAACAAAATGAGAGGGTGAAATCGGCAGTATACTCCCTCTTGTGGAGCAAATAGTTTAAACTATCATATCACTAACTCCATTTTTTGTGAAAAATATAGCAGATCTACTTGGCAATAGATCTCACTATTCATTCCCTACTTCATTAAACGCTTCAGGATGTACCGGTTTCCTTTAATTTGGTCATGAATTAGTTTTTCGGGTTTCAAATTAATTTGGCAACTAAAATTTGTAGTAGGTTCAGAAAAGTGTCACAAAGTATAATTGTCCACTCCTGAAACTTATACAGAAAGGTATGGATTTCAATGATAAAAATATTCATTAATAAATACCCTGAGCACTTAGATAATTATCCATTAACATGAAAAAGTGGAAAATGGACATACAAACAAGTATTTTAAAGACAGAGATTTAACTAAAACATTATGATGTAGAACATTACAACACAAAGTCGACAGAAAATGGTTACAATAATGAACCATATAATAGTTAATCATATTTCTTCATATATTTAACCTGACCAGACATGTCTTAAATCTTCATGTAACAAATGATTCTTACATTCAAAAATATCTCTTCATGTCAAATAATCAGTAATGGTTTGTAATACATTTGTAAATTGATTAGATGAATAGAATTCAGTAACAATATTTAAATACTTTTCCTGAACATCATTCCCTAAAATAAGATTATAGCAATGTCCAATGAAATCAATTGAATAAAATATGACTAGTATAATGAGTGCAACTTTTCAAACTGGAATTACATTATAATGAATGGCATCCCACAATCAACATTATTATTTTCAGACATTATCTTTAACCAAACTGTCCCTTGAAGAGACAAAAAGATCCCTTCTAGTTTTTAGGTCATAGGTCGTTTCAGAAATAATTGGAAATTTTCTGTTTCCAAATCATACATTCAGCTTTTATCAAAATTGGGCAGATAACGACCATCATGGAGATAAACACATCAACTGATCTTGGTTAGTCACTGGAAAAAAAGGTCTACATTACAACAGCTAAATAAATATATTCTTTTGTGAAAATTATGTAACTGATCATGCTGATAGCATCTTTTAAATCTTAATTCCAAAATTTTAACATTTTTTTATAAAACTGGAGGACAATGCCCCACCCCTTTCCAGAGAAAAAGGTATATTTTTCATGTCACATAGTCAGAGGTCATTGTTACAACAACTATCATGGCTATAGGAGGAATAAAATAAAGGAAAAAAGGCTTTTTGAACCACAGTTCAACCTTTTATCTAATCTTTTCAAAATCAGAATGGAAAGCTTTTCTTTCATGACAGAAAAATATCTATCATCCCAATGTCACTGGGTTAAAGGCCAAGGACTCTAGATCACAGTCAGTAGCTTCAAACAAAGATATTCTTATCATACAATCATGAGACATGTACAAGCAGAATGTTTTATACTGTACTGAATACTGATACCAATTAATACCTTCCAAATCTAGAAAAATAGGAATTGAAACTTAAGATATTGATGACATACTGTGATACCTGGAAGCAGTGGTTAATTGTTTCTCCTATACATGTTATATACACATATAAAAGATAAGACAGACAAGACTGCACACGCTGAAATGTCTCGCCTTCTTTACTAATCATTGATATTATGTTGATAGTCCTAAATATAAAGCTTTAATACAACTGTCACATAAACTTAACATTAACCAAGTAAACTAAACATTGACCAATGAACCATGAAAATGAGGTCAAGGTCAGATGAACCATGCTAGGCAGGCATGTACAGCTAACAATTCTTCCATACAACAAGTATGGTTGACCTATTGCTTATAGTTTAAGAAAAACAGACCAAAACACAAAAACTTAACACTGAGCAATGAACCTTGAAAATGAGGTCAAGGTCAAATAAAACCTGCGTGACTGACATATAGATCATAAAATATTTCCATACACCAAATGTAGTTGAACTATTGCATATAGTATTAGAAAAAAAGATCAAATCTCAAAAACTTAACTTTGACCACTGAACCATGAAAATGAGGTCAAGGTCAGATGACACCTGCCAGCTAGACATGTACACCTTACAATCATTCCATACAGCAAATATAGTAGACCTATTGCATGCAGTATTAGAAAAAAAGACCAAAACTCAAAAACTTAACTTTGACCACTGAACCATGAAAATGAGGTCAAGGTCAGATGACACCTGCCAGCTAGACATGTACACCTTACAATCCTTCCATACACCAAATATAGTAGACCTATTGCATACAGTATAAGAAAAACAGACCAAAACACAAAAACTCAACTATAACCACTGAACCATGAAAATGAGGTCAAGGTCAGATGACACCTGCCAGCTAGACATGTACACCTTACAATCCTTCCATACACCAAATATAGTAGACCTATTGCATACAGTATAAGAAAAACAGACCAAAACACAAAAAATCAACTATAACCACTGAACCATGAAAATGAGGTCAAGGTCAGATGACACCTGCCAGCTAGACATGTACACCTTACAATCCTTCCATACACCAAATATAGTAGACCTATTGCATACAGTATAAGAAAAACAGACCAAAACACAAAAACTTAACTATAACCACTGAACCATGAAAATGAGGTCAAGGTCAGATAACACCTGCCAGTTGGACATGTACACCTTACAGTCCTTCCATACACCGAATATACTAGACCTATTGCTTATAGTATCTGAGATATGGACTTGACCACGAAAACTTAACCTTGTTCCCTGATCCATGAAATGAGGTCGAGGTCAAGTGAAAACTGTCTGACGGGCATGAGGACCTTGCAAGGTAAGCACATACCAAATATAGTTATCCTATTATTTATAATAAGAGAGAATTTAACATTACAAAAAATTTGAACTTTTTTTTCAAGTAGTCACTGAACCATGAAAATGAGGTCAAGGACATTGGACATGTGACTGATGGTAACTTCGTAACATGAGGCATCCATATACAAAGTATGAAGCATCCAGGTCTTCCACCCTCTAAAATATAAAGCTTTTAAGAAGTTAGCTAACGCCGCCGCCGCCGGATCACTATCCCTATGTCGAGCTTTCTGCGACAAAAGTCGCAGGCTCGACAAAAACTGAGACAATTGTGTATCAAAACCACAATGTCATTGATATACAGGTACATGTACCAATATGAATAAATGACAAAAATGAAAAAATACAGTCATGTGACAGTTTGATGGTTTTTATGAAAAATATCATCTTTTATGACCATACAACATTATTACATATTCATGATGTGGCCAAATGAAATAGAGAGGTAGCACACCGGAATATATATATATTAAAACAAATTTTTAAGTAGGAGATTTTGTTTTTTTAATATGATAAGCTTCTTTATTGTAATTTATATGTATATTTTAACAGTAACCTTATTTTCATTTTAAATATAATGTCTAATAATCATTTGTATCATACATTGTCATACTGGAAAAATGCACATCTCTATTTATAAACATTTTTTCAATTTATATAATAGTTTAATGTTATAAATGAAAATGACCAAAAAATGGTTCTAAAATACTCAAACACAGCTGCTGAGGTAACCAGTACAAGGCTAACACTTTATATTCACAAATTCCTATAATAATACCAAATAGTACATCTAACACATGATGTCTTCCTAACAAAACACGAGACATACACACAAACATAGCCCATAAACTTATTACTCCTTTTGTTGCTGCATCTGCAAAGACTTTTTCTGCAAAGAAATATGCCAACATGGCTGCCCTTGTTGCATGGCCTGATGGGAATGCATAGTGGTCTATTGATACTGTGGCAAACATGTCATTCTTGTTGTGTTGTGGTCGCTGCCTTTGAAAAAGAATTTTGATCAGTGCTACAATTACCAAATCTCCAAGAAGAACTGAAAAAGAAAATTTATTTATAATCCATTTAAAATTTATAAAAACCAAGTGTCAACATTGTGAATATATTATTACATAGTATAACTATACTTCAATATTTCAAATATGAGATGCAATTGTTGAGTAAGGCATACTAAAGGCTGTAGAGTTGCATTGAATACATTACATCTCAGGGGTCATCACACCAGGCATAAGGAGCAAGTTAATCGCTCTTAGATTTAATATTCATGTACTCTTTTATCAAATCATTTTTACAGATTTTGTTTCTCATACAGGGTTTGGTTGTAAAAAGTTTTCTTGTGCTTGAGGTGCATATTCTTTTACTTTTAAGTTATGAAATAATTATTCACTGTCTATCTTTCAACCTATTTGTTTATCAACATTGATAGGCAAATTAGATGTCTAACCAAATTATTTTGCGGGATTCGTACATTACATGTATTTTGACCCAAAGAGCTGACTGGGGTATAGAAAATCAGTTTTTTTTTTGGTCATTAATGGTCTTCTCTTATCCAGCACTAAAACCCTTGCTAAAGTGTGGTGTCAGTTTGGCTATATAAATACACAGCCACATTGGTTCAGTTTATAGACTTTAAATCCGACAGTGAGCGAGACTCTCTCTGCATGTGAATAAATCCTTACAAAAACTCTTTGATGGTCCAAAACTATAAGTGGCCTGTTGCAGGCAAAATTTCTACCAATATCAAATACACCCTCTTTCTACATATATGCATGCAATAGTTGCCACTGTAACATGCTGTAACAATCAATCAATCATATACATAAATTCCTGCCAAGTTATCTAACTGATATCTTGATGTGCTCAGTTATAATCTACTTCTTTGTATTCTGTCTCTTTATTTTAAGATTAAATTGTTGCTGTATTTATGATAGTATTTGTAGATTTATTTGTATGCTACAGTTATTTCGATTCTAATAGGACAAATATGGTAATTTGAAAAACTGAAGCGAAGGTAAGAGTGCTGTGTGTATGGCTGTTCTATTAATTTCCCCCCTGTAAGATAAAAGCTACAAATTTCAAATAAATCTAAGGCTTGCATGAATTACTTCTTACATGTAAATAACCACTAGAAAAAATGTGTTCAATCCTTATAATTTTTAACCCAAACATTTTTTTTTCGTTGGCTACTATTTACTGTCAAATCCACAGTTGACTTAACATGTCTTAACTAAGGAGTGAGCCGCCATGTTGAATTGCTGAAATCCATGAATGTGCGAGAGATGTAATTGAATAGAAAATGAAACAACACATACACCAAAACTCCATTTCAATGCGATATTAACCAAATTTAGAGTATAAACGTAACGGAATAATCTTCAGCTTGGTAGTTTTCATTCGTATGACATGACGTTAACATGCCAAGATCATTCATGAAATTTCGCTGAATTTTATTTTATTTTGATTTTAAACATTTTTTAAGATCTTATGCATTAATTCTTTTTGTTGTGCATTACAATAGGAATAACGGTTCTGTAGTTCCTTTTTCAATTTCAATTTGAAAACAGTGAAATCCACATAGTGTTTGCACATAGGTTAAGATACATGTGGATTTATGTCGGAGGTAAATAGTAACAGCCATTAATATGTACATCTCTGAGTCTGTTCTTAGTATAGATATATCGAGAATTTTATCATGCTGTTGTTTACAAAGCGAAGGACGCGTGTCATATTAAAATTATTGATATTATCCTGTGAATGGTTTATTTAATGCATAGACAGTTTTGGCAATTGAAAAGTACCTCCCCGTTGGATCAACAAAATATTTATTTTAATGTGAACTTTCGACTGTCATTTCATAATTTTTGGGGTCTAAAATGACCCTATCACCTGGTCTTTTGTTTATGGTATGTAAAAAAAACATGTAAAACTAAAGACTTTCCACAATATTTTTTTTATTCATAACTATATTTTCTAGTTTCATCCATTTTGAACAAGCAAAAACATGAAAAACTCAAAATATACCATAGTTCAGTTTTAAAACAACAGCCAAGAATTAAGAATTACAGGAATAAACCTGGGACTAATAGATAATTAAATGAATTAGTCATAGAATAAACACAGAAAAAAAGCATAAAAATCTTCTGTCTGCTAATTCGTAATCGGCCAGAAAATACAAAAACTTCTGATGATGTGGTCACATTCTTTAAATTTCAAATGAGGCATGTTGGGACATTTCTACTGATATCATACCGGCTTTACTAAATGTTAGATTATTTTAAAAGTCTCAAAATGTTATACCTTTGTTTGCAAGAGTATTTTCATTCAAAGAAAATCTGATACTGATCAAGGAAACTTAACATCTGAAAAGGCTATTTAGACTCCAAGCCATTACTGTGTCAACAGGAAGAAAATGGAAGCTTATCTGAAATCTTTAAGTTCCACAAGCATGGGCCAAAAATAGCATGAAAAATGGGGCCTATTTTTCCTTATTGCCCATCCTCCTTTTGATGTCTAGCATTATTTCAATGCAGTATTTACTATCATTGCAATAATTTATCTCAAATTTTGTCCATTTTCATGAATTGCAGTAAAAAATGTGGTAAACACTTGAAAAAATGGTATTGATCTCATCAGCAAACATTGTCAAAGAGATCTTTGAATATTTATTTTATTTAGAATTTTCTTTTATTATAATAAGTCTTGCTAAATGGTGTTTCAAATTATATACAGAGCATATAAGTGGACATTACTTTGTGTATTCAACATTCAACGGAGGAACAATACTACAGCAAACACAGAATAAAAAGTGGAGGGAGATAATTCTTGTATTGACATATGATATGTACCTATCAATAGATTAACTGCAATTTCAAAGTGTTCTGGTATGTGCGTTGTAACTAGGACTGCTATGGTACCGAAAATCCAAGGAATACCATGACATGATATTTCTAGAGCCTTCATCAATGGTCTTAAATTCCCTAGGGGTCGGTTTGCATCGGCACACAGTCCACAGTGCTGTGTCAACTCATCATCAAGCGTAGTGACTGTTTTCATGAATGAATCAATCGCTTTCTTCAACTTTTCTTCTGGATTGACTTCTCTTCTTGATGCATTACCACGCCTTTTACGTCTCTGTATTGCTGACATGCTTCTTGGGTGAATTATTCATTCGTTTGTACACTTTAATTTTAAATGGAGCAAGCTCAGGTAAAACACGGTATCCGGGAATTCCTTGTGTAAGGCATTATGGGTAGTTCTATCTATAAATAGACTACTTAGTTGTTACCATAGCTATTTTAAAACTTCTATCTTACATTTTCCTATTCAATAAACTAATATTCTGCATAGCCAATACGAAATTGCTAGATATGACTAATCACCCCTTTATATATATTTGATTATAAACAAATTTAAAACCTCTTGAAGGAATTCCCTTTGTGACGTCATAATAAAACCCAAAGAATTTCGGGACCGGCAAATACGAATGCAACCTTTTGCGGATAAAAGTGAATAAATGAGACACGACCGCATTTTTCTTTTACCGCACGGAACCGATGGAAGGAAGAGAGATGGGCAATCGGTCATCGGCTTGGTTAAACGAGACTGCAATTGGAATCAACAATTTGAAAGAAATCCACCAAAAAATTAGAGTTCTTAATCTTAACGCAAGAATTGAAAAACAGCCTACAGTGGTGGATGAAACATCACAGTCTGTTCTTAAATACAGAACTCCCAATTTCAGGTTAGTTTTAACCTTGACGAAACTGATAGACCTAAATGTAGTGCTTTAAAAAAAAAAGTAAAAAGGAATTACATTTTATTTTTTTATGAAAAAAAAAAATACTGATTCTTTTATTAATATTTCAGCTTCAGTATTTTAGAGGGACAGTACTACAATGTACTTCATATATAAGCTTCTTGTAATATAGACGATACAGCTCAAGTCGATTCGGCCCCATCATTCGAAAATATTCCGTGACAAATGCAATATCTCATTGTGTTTTAGTTTTATATAGAAATATTCGATTGTGATCACCGTGGCGTTTCAAAAAGTTGTCCGCCTGTATGACCCTCCCCCTAATTTCTTTAATTTCAATATGAAAATGACGCTCTGTCCAGTTGCTTTCGAATGTATCCGCTTGTTTCTTTAATATTTTAATTGAAATATCGGTGTCAAAAAGGCCTGCAGACTTTCTTTTAATTTTTATATAGCCTGACTAGCTATTTGGTGTGTCAGTAAAATTTTCTAAGGGATATTTTCAACTTCACCACTTGGAACTCTTGGTGTAAAAAATTAGAAAAAAAGCGGTATTTGGAAAATGAGCACCCCGTGTCACCCCCTCAAGTATGTTTTTAAAAGTGTATATGTTTTAACTTTATCTGTATTTTGCATGATATGTCTCATGTATGTAATTTTTATTTAAGTGCAGTATCTATATCGGTTTTAAAATCTTTGATATTGTTAGTATATGTATCGACTATAAACTGGGACATAATATATTAGTATAATAGTCCCAGATCTAAATAAAGCTTCTGTCTGATTTACTGTGACCAGAACGACATGAAAATAACTCTTTAGCGCGTAAAATAAAATTAGATGAAATCTGAATGAAGAAATTTTCATTGAAAATACATATGACACAGAAAATAATGAGGCCACGCCCTCAAGTGTCTATGCCAGAGATTACCATATAAATATTGATAAAACACAATTTTTCCTACTGACGAGGTTCCTAATATGCCGTTATAGGCGTACAAACAATATTGACACCCTCTGCAGCAAGATTTATAATAATATGAAATCAAATTCAATTCCCAATCATTTGGATAACTTTGAACATTTTGATTCACTGTACTGTACTTGGCGGAGAAACTACGAGTGTAATGGATTTGAAAATAGTTAATTATATGACTTGCAGTCAAAATAATAAAGTACTAGTATCAAATCCATGTACTCTTTTTAAATAACGTTAAGTTATTTTTTAGAAAAACTCAGTATAACTAAACCAACTTGTCTGTATTCAGGGTGAGTGCTACTATTGAATTAGCCCCGATGACTGAGCAGCAGAAATGGAAAGTTGGTTGGATACAGGCCTGTACAGATATGATGTTCCACAACACATACGGAGATGAAGGATAGTAAGTAAATACAGACAATAAGTACCGGTATAAATCTTCGTAAAAGGGCATATATTTCAAATTTTTTTTTGGGTCCTCAGTGCACTCTTATCAGAAATTGTTATGTCATTCTATTTGCTAATTGCAAAATTAATGATAAGTTTCAAGATAAACAGGACAATTCTGTATTTCATAGTACTTTGTCCAGTTTTACCGTGTAAGCTTTTACAATAAATCGGATAAATATTAAATTAATAAATATCCAAAAGTGGTAGCGCTAAATTGTTACCACCAGCTTTTTCCTTATTCAAAATCCTCATTTCTTTTCACCAACTATATCACCTATCTAAAATCGTATCCTGAATATGTATGCAATATTTGCAACTTCATGAACGTAGAGAAAAAAACAATTAATCTGTCAATCAACCCCAAACAGCTCTAATTTTATACCAAATATGTTTCCAATCGAATGTTCTGTTTTTAACGAGTAAGCATTAATATATTTTACTACTTTTAGTAAACAAGTTTACAAGTTGAAGGTTATATAACTAAATTTAACACTTGGTTTATTTTTCTTTTGGGAAATGGTTTATAGAAAAGGTCCATCAAGTTGACTTTGTCCTATATCAAGTACATCTAATAGTAAAATATCGAATTAAAATAGTTGCTAATTCCTCATAAAACAAAACTATAAAGTAAAAATAATAAAATTTATTGAATATTTTTTTATTGTAAATAATTGTCTATCAATGCGCTTCATATCCAACAAATGTTCACAAGCTCAAAGCTTCTACAACTGGGACGAATAGATTATGTATTAATAATACGAAATAATTACAATACATGTATGTTTCATTATAATACGTTATTTTGATTGGCTAACATCAATCTCGCGTCATTCTAAAATTAACCTTCATTTCAAAATGAAATGTAACATTCATGATGATACGAGCTTCCACAATAAAGTGCACAGGTAAATAAAAAGAAAACTTGATAGAAATCGTGTTTCATGATCCTAGCAAAAAAATGTAATTATAAGTATTGAATGCTTCTTTTAGTAATTTTATAGGGTTGTAAAAGCGTTGACCGTGCGCACATTTTTAGAATGAAGCGCTTCCGCGCTTCATACAAAATGAACTTCGGTCAACGCTTTTACACCCAATAAATTTACAAAAAGAAGCATTCAATTCTAAAGTACCATTATACTATCAATTGAAGCATTATAAAAACTATATTTTAATGAGAATACTAGGAAATTATACGAGTAAAATCAAGCTTTTCAATCGTTTTGCTATACTCATACTAATTGTTGTAACGTCGTCATGGAGAGCACGTACAGTCATGGTTTTCGTGCCCCCGATTTGCATTCTATAGACGAACACTCCACATCTCCACGAGCTAAGTTTGCAATTTTTTTTTTATAAACTATTTATTGATTTTTTTATATTCAAATTGAAAAATGAAATCGAACTATGTTTATAGTTTTCATTTTTTATATCAAATCATCTTAATTCTGAAAAAAGGAAAAACGAACAAAGTGGTTATTTAGATAAATTAGAAGAACACAAAATGGTTTTTTAATTTGAAAATAAGAAAAAAAAAAAAAATGAAAAATGAAAACAAATCGGGTTTTATTTTTTCGAATTGTAAAAATTGGTTCGTACGAAAACTTTTAAACTGCAATTTGTTTTTTCATTTTTCCATTTCAAAATGAGAAACAACATAAAAAACAGTTTACTTTCGTTTTTTTTTAATCCAAAAGCAATCTAGAATATAAAACCATAGATAGTTTAATTAATCAAATAATTTATTTATTGTTTCATTATCGCTCCAGTCATGCTTCAGTAATTCCCTATATAATCAACCAAATTTTTTCCACGAAAGGGGGGGCTCCCCCCCCCCCCCCCCCGGGCCCCCCTGGATCCGCCTAATCGCATGTCAATTTTCAGGATTTGTTTTCGGCTTAAGCACATGCTAGTTGACACTGATTTGGCTATTTTTTTGTCTTTCATTGCCTGATGTATTTTTCACAGGGAGGCAGTTTTTACAATATGCAATATTCCCACATTTTTCACAACATCAAACACAAATCTTCTTTCAAATCTTATTGTCTCTCGTTAAAATGGAAATACGAAAAAAATTGTGAAAGCCTGTACAATTTAGATCGAAGTTCGCAACAAAATTCCCTTCAAGGAAATTAACTCTTCAACTTGCTTCGAGAATTTTTTTTAAAGTTGCATGAAGCCTTTGTAAAAGAGAAGGTATATAATTTTTACTATCTTTTCAAAACGGCATGCACACAAGAATATTGCACACAGAAAGAAATGCACAGCAGATTTATTTACAGATAAAACAATCGAAGAATCGATTTAGTTTTAGCTATTATTCTAAATGCAGTCAGGTAAAATGTTAAAATGTCAATTCTACAACCAATTGTACATCGATATAGGATTTAATCGTTTATATTATTTTTAGCACAAGTTGGGAATTTCCAGAGCTGACAAGTGGTCAGCAATCAATGATCAGCGATTGTGATGGACATCATTACCCATGGTACGGTTCAAGAAACGAAACAGTTGTTTTTGAAGGGCCTTGCAAAATGTACCAATCTGCAACCATCGCCATGAACGATAACTTTCATCCTCACGTAACTTGGAGAAACCCATCTAACCGTAACCAAACTGAACCAAACCTTAGTCATATTATTCGTGACCAGAGTTTTTATGTATGGTTAGTTGCATGGAACATGACAACTCAAAATGCTTATATTTTGAAAACCGTTCGCTGGAATATGAAACTGGAAATTAATGTTGACCCAAAGAAAGCTCTCGGCGCAAGGGCCAAACTTGTCACCTCTGTAGTTCCAAAGCAGCCCACTGTTTTAGAAAACAATATTCCGATTCCTAGATGTTCTTTAATGCCACCAAATGCCAATAGTGCTCAGATGCTGGTATGGAGACCTCGTTTAGGTGAAGCCCAATGTATTATACCTCCTGTCTGGAAGAAAGAGGTTCCAGTAGAAGAGCAAGTTGTTCGTTTTGACAGCAAGCTTTGTAAACTTTAATCAACATTTCATATAGCTTTATTTCTGTGATAAATTTTATACATGTTTTTTTTAAATATATTTATAAGGGTTTTTAGCATTTTGTATCTTTTAATGGAAAGTGCAATATTCAGTGCCACTATTAAAGTAGTTTCTTAGATATCTGTTGTCTTTTTTATACAAAATTAAGATATTTTCATCAGAGGTTACCATTGCCTTTTTTAAATTCAAGTAGATTTCTTCTGTCTTTGGATAGTTGCATGGTAGTCAAAAACTACGCGCGCAATGTTTGGATCATTATGTATTGTCTCTATTTGGTCGGCTATTGACTTGTCCGGTAGCATTCAATCGATCATATTGACACTTGTTGGTCGTGCAGTAACACAACACGATAGCTTGCTTAAATCATTTATATTTATTTATTTTACAAAGTCATATATGACACTAGACATCACATGAGCTTCATATTTCCATATGCTTCCAATACCAACAAAAGACGAAGTTGGTAATCCTTCATGTTTTTTTTTTATATCATGCGAGAATATTATGTTTCTTTGAATAAAATGAGATGTGAATGAATGTCAATAAGACAGCAACCAAACGAAAGATAGCCGAAAGGAATATAGAGGGCTACAGTAAGTCTTCAACAATATTCACGTGTCTTATACAATATCTCTAGCTTTAAATTGTACCAAGTCCATTAAAGTAGGGAAGACATTAAACAGGAACAATCAAGGTCTGTATCTAACTAACACATCCATACAGTTTTGATATTCGATAACAGTTATACTCATCAATTAAATTAACATGGCGGGTTAGACAAGCGAAGCAGGAACTGCCGACTCCTCTGGAGCACAAAAGTTAACCCAAGGTTTTTTTCGAAGGGTTCGTTTTGCTCAATCTTTTTGCTTTCTGTATGATTTGTTATTATTGTTTGTCTTTTTTGCCGTTTTGAAATTGATGTCTGTTTTTATTGGAATTAAGATTTTTATTGCCCCTTGGTGTCTTCTTTTCTTTTTACAATTGATAAAGATTGAATTTTCTTATCATTTTGGTTTTATTTTCGGTATTTTTAAGGATTGCATTAAAGCTCATAAGTTGTTTGTAGTATTGCGTATTTTATTTTTTGTTGTAATTAAAATTTAAGTGTGCGACAAATAATATTAAAGAAACATATAAAAATTACAAGCTAAAACATAGAAAGCTTAAGAACATTATGGGTCTCTTGTCGCCAGATCTATTGCTTGGTTCCATATATAATACTGCGAGGTTATGGTAAAATGTAATTACGGAAAGAAACATTTTAGATATATGTTTTGGGGGTCTTTAAATGAATATGAGTTATTGTCCTTCACTAAATTACAGTAACGGAATTAAAAATCCGTGTTTAGGGTCCCGAATGCCTTATTTCATGATAATATTTTCGTTAAAAAAAAGCATTAGCTTTGAAAAACCCCGAACTATGGCTGTAGTACTCTTAAGATAATCTTTAAATCTTAATGCTTTTTGTCGGGAACTTGGTGTTGATTCCAAATCTTTAAAGTCTATGCTAATTTTTTTTTGGTCAGGCACATACATTAACATGTAGCCGAAATTACTAGACATTCTTATGATTCAATGTTTCCCCCTTTTCAATATAAATCATTGTCTGAAGTACGTGCGATTACAATTTAGTTAAAAAGCACCCAACTCTTTAATATCGGTATTATAGACAACAATAACACAGGTAAAAGAAAAACAATACTAGATAATAACGTAGCGAAGAATGATTTAGATGTACACATTTTTCAAGTATATGTTTAAATTTGTAATACAATATTTTCAAAACAATAACGAGTGCCGATGGTGGAACAGGAACTACTTATGCTATAAGAGCAGCGAGTTCTCTCCCTATTCCTGTTATCTGGAAATAGTATACAAACAATATAGTATGTCCGAGCTGTTATTCAATTGTAAAGTTTCTGTGTAGTTCGGTTGGACTAATGTTTGCCTTTGATCGTTATAGAAATAAAAAGATATGGTATGAATGCCAATGAGACAACTCTCCATTCAAGTCACAATGTGTAAAAAGTTAACAATTATAGGTTAAAGTACAGTCTTCAACACGGAGCCTTGGCTCACACCGAACAGCAAGCTATAAAGGGCACCAACATGACTAGTTTAAAACAATTCAAACAGGAAAACCAACGGTCTAATTTATATAAAAAACGAGAAACGAGAAACACTTACGAACCACATCAACAAACAAAACCACCGAACAACAGGCTCCTGACTTTGGACAGCTTATTTATTGATAAGGAGATGTGGCATGATTGCCAATGACAACTATCCAACAGAGTCCAAAAAAATCTGAGAAAAGCTTGACCTTATCTTTCTTCATTTCTTAATGCATGTATACTACAAATAAGAAATACTTTGTTGTTTGTCTTTTGGTCTTTTATCTTTTTTTGCCATGGCATTGTCAGTTTATTTTCGACTTATGAGTTTTAATGTCCCTTTGATATCTTTCGCCTCTCTTTTATGTTATAATTAATTTGTTCCTCCCTATATTTGGAACTTTTTTCAATGAGGTATTACGAGCATTGCACTACAACATGTTCTTCTTACACTAATTATGACGTTGCTGTTTAGAAACACATGCAGTGACTGATATCAGAACGTATGGAGTCTTGTTTCATAGATTAATTATTTGGGATTGCTTCAGTTACTGCGAACGTTTAACTTGTACAGTAAATGTATTTTTCACTATTGCCTTTTCTAATTACGTTTTTGTATTCTGTGATACCAATACAATTGAATATAAGCGCTTTTCCTTTTCTTGTTTGGTTTTTATTCATGGTTTGCTGCTTTTTGTGTGTGCCTGTCCCAAACTAGGAGCCTGTAATTCTTTGGTTGTCGTTTGTTGTTGTATAACATATTTGTTTTTCGTTTATTGTTTTGTACATAAAACGTTAGTTTCCTCGTTTGAATTGTTTTACATTTGTCATTTATGGGCCTTTTATAGCTCACTATGCGGTATGGGTTTTGCTCATGTAAAATGACCAGGAATTTGTTCAGTTTTATTCTTATATATCTTGTGTTCTTTTTATTTTCCTACTAATCCAATAAAATGATTTTGATTAATTTTGTTATTCCTAGGAAAAGAGAATGGTTTATAGAATGTCAAACCACTATCCGACTCTGATTTATGTCAAAAATCACAATAAGCTTTGTTGTTCATTGACCATTTACCTGAACACTGATTTTATTCATAACTGTAATTTGAAGCTTTCTCTATAATTATATATTTTAACAAATTATTGAACCAAAGAACTAAATTTAAAACAAAAAGCCCTAACACTTCGTTTCCCTTCATGAATTTTGTTTAGAATTTGTGTTGCATAGGCATAGTTTACACAAAATTTTCATAAAATTATTATGTGGATTAAACATTCTAAACAAAATGGAGACTCAAATGGCAAGAGGAAGGGTGGAAAGTAAAATAACTCAACAAGATGACGAGAAACAACCAAAATGTACATTTAAAGATGACGAAAATCCAAAGAGACGTGATCTTACTACATGTGAAATTTGCAACAAAGATTTGTTTGCTCCAAAAAACTTTCCATGTCTTCATTCATTTTGCGAAATGTGCATTACTGATTTCGTCAAAAGAATTAAAAGAGAGAAAAAGTCGAAAGGTCAGACTCCAACAGTAGCTTGTCCTATTTGTGAAACTCCTGCAACGTTCCGATCTGTTGATAATCCGAAAGAATTTGCTGAAAGCTTACAAACAAGCACACTTTCGGCTACTCTGCTCTCAAAGAAAGCAGAAAAGTCCAGGGAATGTAGTCTGTGTCCATCTGTTCAAAGAAATGAGGCAACATTTTGGTGCTTTTACTGTGCGCAAGCATTATGTGAAAACCATGAAAGCTATCATAAAACAGTTACATCAACAAAAGTAAAACACCAAGTGTTTCCAATTAAAAATATCAGAGATATTCCAGATTCAATTTATAAATCGCAGCACTGTCGATTTCATGAGAAGAACCCCGTAATTCATTTTTGTATGGATCATTTGAATTCGTGTTGTTCGATTTGTTGGAAGCGGATGCACAAAGTGTGTAATGTTATCCCGATCGATCAAGCTGCAAGAATTGTACACAAATCACGCATAACTTCGGATTTACACCAGACAATTGATCATTTGCTAGTTAAAGTAAATGATACTTTACAAGAACGTAAAGATTTACTGAAAGACATACAAAAACAACGAAACTCTTCCATGAAAGCAGTGAAGATGTTTAGAAAGGATCTAGATAATTACATCGATTCATTACAAGCCAATTTAGAACTAGATATTGAGAATCATTTTTGTCAAACTAAAGAACAATTTGAGAGGGAAATACACGATTTTGAAAACAAAAGGTCAAATTTCGAACACTACCAAAAGCTAATTAAATCAATTAATGAATGTTCACAACCAATTCAGTCTCTATCAGAGCTAACAGATATTCGACAACAGTGCAATGAAATAGAGGAATCAATTGGAAGAACTCTCTTTCAAATGAAGAATTCTCGTCTCTCGGTTACATTTATAAGTATTCAGCAAATAGCGCATGTCATATCTAAACTAGGATCAGCAGTCATAACAGAAACATCTCGTAGATCACAAATGTTCAGACCTTCAAGTGATTCTAGAAGCAAATCGCGACACAGCTCTCACAATTCAACTTCTTCAAGAAGGTCGAATAATCGTTAAAGTTTACACCTTGGTCAGCTTTTCATAAATGGGTATCGGTTGAAATACGATAGTGAACATTATATACAGTATACATGCATTTTTGTTTGTTTGTTGTTGTTGATTTTTACATGTTGTAAATAACCCTTAAATACCTTGCGTTAACTACGCCAATTCAGAAAGTAATGTTTAATCAATTGACTGTTTCCATGAGAAGGACGCGTCAACATGACGGGTTCGATGCTTGTAACCATTTTTTAAATTTTATTTCAGACCAGTATCTCTATGTCAAAAATCAATACATCAAACTTATTGTTCAAATTAAATCTTTAGATCTGAATATAACAATTAAATGAAATAAAAAAAAAAACACTGTTAGCTTATCGATGCCAATTGGGGGTTAAGTGTTGGCTTCTACCGTGCCCACTTCCGTCCATCAT